TACCTGGAATGCCTGATGATTATGTGCAAATGATGCAGAGATGTTGGGATGTGGACCCATCTAAAAGACCAACTATTCTAGAGCTTGTGAGGTTTTCTTTTAATAGATTAAAAGAAATTGATTTTAATGATGATGGCAGCAGCAGCAACAGTGGTAGTGGCAGTAGTAATTCACAACAAGTACATAAATCGCATCCAGATGCATATTATACAAGTAGAATATTGGATGAAGAGATTGCTAAATCTAGAAGCTTTAAAAATTATACAAGTAATGACAGTCCATTAGATACTCTTGGCTTTAACTCTTTTCTCTTAAATGCTGAAGGTGAATTATTAATTAATTGAAAATTATTATCTATCCATTAATTATTGCTAACAATTATTTACATTAGATTCTAAAAAAGAGTGACCAATTTAATCTCCATTATAAATTTATTCACAATAATTATTTTTATTTTATTTCTAAATTATAATATGTAATAAGAATATTTTGATTCTTGTTAAATGGATATTGCAAGGTAGCCTTTTGATTATGGCTTAACTTTTGGGCTACTCTTGTCAGTTAATTACAAGCAATACACAATACTTTGATACTTGTCATTAATAAATTTATGAATTTACATTGGTTCTCACTTACTGTCCCTTTCTTGTATGCGAATCTGTAAGCACACATTTAATGATACCAGATAACCGTAAATAAACAAATAGAGACAGCTCTTTACAAAGCTCAAAAGTTCCTTTTATTCACTGATCAAAATAAAGTAAACTTTTGCCAATCTTTTTATATAATGAATACGGTAATAGTAAACAGTGTCAAAACTAACTCTTCCTTATATCGAGCGCTAACTGTATGTTGATATATCATGTGATTTTTTGTTAAGAAATCATTTCTTGATTTATTAATATTAATACGAATTAATACGATTTCGATTAAGGCGACTGATTTTGAGAAAACATTCATAAAACGAAAAAAGTTTATAATATTTATTTAAAACAAGAGAAATTAAATATTTAATTAGCCGTTGTCATCATACTATTTTATAATGTTTTAATTTATTTAACAGATGTGAGAGCAAGAAGTAGGAACATCAAAATTTTCTTTTCTGACACCACCCCAGTCAGGACCGCCAACAAGTTTAGCCTTGACACCCAAACCACGTTTAGCGAATCCTTTCCAGATTTCGCACTTATTTGCCCCACCAGTTAAGATTTCATCAGCTTGCAAGATTGCATCTCTTGCATTGATAAAAGTTGGTCTACATGGTTGAAGTTTCATACCATCAACCACTAATTGTAAAAATAATGTGTTTCCATGCTTTGGAATTTTATTTGTATTAAATCCGTCAATTGTCGATCTATCATACCAACTATAATCTTCTTCATCTGTTGGTGGAAACCAGGATGATGTGAACCCAAGTTTGTCAACAAGGTTCCAATAAACTTCATATAAAATGCCAGCCCATACAGCACTAATTAATCATTAAAAATGTGAATTAACGAGTGCGAGTGTTAGTATGAGCATGCGTGCATAAATAAATTATAGTTTTGACGTATAATGTTGATGTATCTACCCTTTAGCATGTACACCCCAATATCCTGGTTTGTCCAAGTAACCAAATGTTTCAGGATTGGTTTTAAGAGAGGTTGAGTACTAATGATAAGATATATATATATATATTATGTTATTATGATTATGATAATGACGATGATGGCAATAATAACAAAATTTCAAAAAAAAAAAAAAAAAGAATTAACTTCAATTAAATAAATTACTTACAGGATAAGCCCTAATACCCTCACCACCATTTGCCCATTCACCCATACCAAATTCTACACTACGATTATATTCCTCTTTCATACGTAATATAGTCGCAAAAAAGTCACCCCAACCTTCACCCATACCACCAGCTTCGCCCCATCCTAAACAACCACTATTTGCTGGTCCGCCTGTTAATCTGGTTGATATACCATGAGAATATTCATGAATCTAAATTTAAAAAAAAAAATTTAATATTAATGACAATAAATAAATATCATGATAAGTGCAAATATGGAAAATTGTTTAAATAACTTACAACGATACCGGCTTCTAAATCACCATCTCTAAGTGGGTCAACCACATCCCAAACATACATACGCATTTTACCATGTTGACCATCAGGAGGCGTGGCAAAATTTGCATTGTTGTATCTAAAATTATAAACGAACAAAGATCATTATATTATATTAAGGGGAAGGGCTAATTTGAAAGAAAATTTTAATTAACAATAAAAAGATTAAGTTACCCAGATCCATCTTGAGCATTAGCAATGACAGCATCATGATCTTTGCCGCCTTTGCCATAATTATTTTCTTGGAAATTTCCGGCAACTTCATTAAATCCATATCTATAGAATAGATCATGAATCTAAGAATTAAATAGAATTATTGTTAATGATGATAATGATATTATTGACTTTTATCTTCATCAGTAAAAATCCTTACCATATTATTCCAATAAAATAAATTGGAAACAGCAGAATCGATATAAGATTTAGGAGTATTTGACAAATTAAGTGGATAATCAAATAATAAATCATTGCCACCATCTGGACGATAATTATTCTCTGTAAAATATAAATAAAATTATAAATTTTAATTTAAATTTAAATTGCTTTAAACAAATTATATTTAATTATCATAATATATACCCCAATCCCATTCACCATTGAAATTTTCGTGAGCATAAACATTATTTCCGATGGTGGTAGTAAAATTTTTTCTTGGGCCCTGAGAATGCCACCCATAGGGAGAAGAAATAATATCGTTAGGATCAGTTACTAATTTTCGACTTCCCTCGGAAGGATCATTTAGGCCTAACGGGAATACATTATAAGTAGCATCTGAAACCCAATCTATCAAAGACAATAGATTGCCATAATATGCATCGATATGAGCATGGTACCAGTTATTTTCCATTTCAATCTGTAATTCCCAGATTAATTGTAGTTGATGATCAGTATCTAGCTGAAGATAGGATTGCTTGACAACCACATCAGACAGGGCAAAAGATACATTTGATATTAATAATGTAGGTTCGTCGTTCAACCAATTTGTAGTTGAAATTGTCAATTCATCATATTCAGGTGCTTGCAAGTTTAATAGACTTGCAAAAGATGTTAGAGCCTCGTAGGGTGAGATGATGGGGTTTGGATCAAAATTGATATTATAAAGTTCAGCATTCCCCCTAACTATTGATCTTTTCTTTGCTTTTCTTTTATCTTTCGATGAAAATAAGATAGATTGTTGTTTGTTGTTTATACCCAAAGTTAGATCACTATCAAAAACATCATCACCATTAATATTAATATTAATATCAATATTATTATCTTTTTGTGTCTTTGAGGCACATTTGTGTTTGGAAAGAGGACGACGGAACTTAGGTAAAGCAAAAGAATCTCCAGTACTGATGATTGATCCATGCTTGTCGATGTTTATATTTAAATCGCCATTAGTAACTGTTATACCATTTATGACTTGTTTGAAATATACATGAGTAACATTAGTATGCTCCGATCGGTAAATATTCTTTATTATAAAATTAGAATGCGGATGCAATTCTTCAACAAAATTAATTGCTATCTCTTTTGGATCACCAGAGTGAAATTGGGACCTAAATATATGTCCAAATTCTTTTATTGACGGGGAAAAATATTTACGATGAACTAATTCTGGTCCAAAATTTGGACGAAATGGATTGTGTGTAGTATGATTTCTATCAGTTGGTGGTAATGTATTTACATTAATAACTAGGGTAAAAAAAATAAAATATGCTATAATGATTTTCATGATAGATTTATCTATCTGATTTTTTAAAAAAATTTTATATTGTTTAGGACGGACAACTAAAAAAAGAACTCAAGGGATGAAGAACTAAGCGCACAGAAGAAATATTTTATTTTTAAAAAAATAAAATATTTTTTCATTCCAATCTACTTTATTCCCTTTTTATATATTTATAATAAATAAATGGTAATATAAACAAATATAATGACCTCATGACTAAATAAATATTCTTGTTCACTTTGTTAGATACGAAATTAATTTTTTTGTGTAATGTGTGTAATGTGTAATATGCAAGGAATAAAATTTAGTAAATAAAAAGAGTCACCATTGTATTTGAATTATTATTATTATACATAACCGTCAAAAAACAAAACCTAAAGTCACACGTGACTACCTAATTAGTTATATGAGAGATATGCATGCAAGTTCAAAACAGTAAATTTAAAGTCGATCGATAATGATAAGTAGTACAATAAAAAATATTTAATGCGAAGATATCAACCCTGATTCTTATTTACCCTTTCCACCTCCTTCCACCTTCCGGCTAATCAAAAAAAATTAATATTAAGAATTAATAATTATTTATTTATTTATATCGGTCGGTCTCCTGCATAAATTAATATTAACCTTGTGAAATACATAACAATCAGCGGCTGATTTTCCTTTTGTGTATTATTTATTATCGGCAAAATATATAACCAATCAAAGATCATCCATCATAAATAAAAGACACAATCTCTCTTATGATTCAGGATGATCTACAACATTTTGACCTTTGATTTTTGTTGTTTGCTGTTGTTTGATAAAGAATCTTCCTCCTAGAGAATTGCTGGAAGCAAATCTTCTACAAAAAAAGATTGATTACTCCAAAAAAAAATTTTTCAATGAACTCAATGAATATATAATATATTTTACGAGACTAGATGATGATTATTTTTTATCAGTATAATATAATGATGATAATTTTTATTATTTGCATATTATTAAATAAATTTACAAACGAGAAAAATACTACTGAATGATGTTTTTTTTAAATGGATATCCTTTTTTTTTTTTTTTTTTTTTTTTTTAAGTACAACAACTTCCGTTACAACATTTACTTGGACAATCTTCACAACCAGGTGCAACCTTCGGGTCGGATAAATCTATTAAAAAATAAAATTTTATTTTAGTAAATTTTAAGATAAATGAACGAGCGAACGAACGAAAGATATTTACCAACGTATTCGATCTCAAAATCATCATCATAATAATCATCAAGTTCGATATTATGAACAATTGGTTCATAATGAACATCGGCTGGTGGTGGATTTATGGCAACAACAATCATTGTTGTGAACAATAATATTAATAAAATTACGAATAATTTATTTTTCATTTTAAATTTTTTTGTTTTAAAAAAACCAAAATTCATTTTTTTCACATTTACTTATATATTGTAATTTTGCATATAGCAAAGCCTCATGGAAAATTAAAAATATTTACCAAGCCATCTTAAATAATTTACAAAGCCATTGAAAATCAAGTCTAAATTTTTTTGAGAGTATGCTTAAAAAATAATTATCATTTCATCTTGCTCACGTGATTTATCATTTTATATACTATTTATTTTAAGTCATAATTAAGAAAAAAAATCAAATTAATTAGAGTAGTAAATAATAATAAATGATATTAATAATATCTTCTTTATTAATTAAAGGAAAATGACTTTATAGCGAGATAAATAAAACATTTTGTTATTTTAATTGATTTATTATTTAATATAATTTAAATTTTTTTTTAAAAAAAATATACTCTTTAAATATGTTGGTTGTTGGTAATAAAAGTTTCCATTTTCAATTTGAAGAAACCAAAAAAATAAATAATGATGTTTTTATTTATCAATATTATCATCATTATTACTATTACTACTTCATCAATTACCAACGTGTCATCATCACCTCTTAATCCAATAACAATTAAAGGTTCAAGATTTTTCGATTCGGTAACAAAAGAACAATTTTTCATAAAAGGTGTAGCTTATCAACCTAATCGTAACATAAAGGGCGGTAATTTCGATCCATTGGCAAATGTTAAACACTGTAAAAGAGATATTGATATGATGAAGGAATTAGGTATTAATGTTATTAGAGTTTATCAGATTGATAATCACGAAAATCATGATGAATGCATGAATTATTTGGAACAAAACGGGATTTATCTAATCTTGGATTTGGCTACAAGTTATGTTAACGTAAATCGTGATAGTCCCGAATGGTCACTGTCAATCTATAAAAATTTCATTACAACTGCATTGGAATTTTCAAAGTATAAAAATACCTTGGGTTTTTTTGCTGGTAATGAAGTATCAAACGTTATAGAAAATACTGATGCCTCAGTATTTGTTAAAGCTGCAATTAGAGACGTAAAGAAATTTCTAAAAAAATATTCTTCAAGATACATCCCAGTTGGTTACTCGAGTAATGATGATGCAAATATTAGAATTCCTTTATTAAAATATTTTAATTGTGGCGATGATGAAAATGCCAGGGTATTTATATATATTCGTCAATTACTCATCATCATCCATCTATATATACATTAGCTATCATATTAAAAAAAAACATTATCGATTTTTTTATTTAAAGGCTGATTTTTATGGTGTAAATATGTATGAATGGTGCGGAAAAAATAGTTACGAAACTTCCGGGTATGCTGAACGTACAAAAGAATTTTCTGGTTATAGTATTCCTGTATTTTTGTCAGAATATGGATGTAACACTTACCATCCTAGATTGTTTGAAGAAGTTTCTACAATCTATGAAAACAAAGAAATGATTTCGATATGGTCCGGTGGAATTGTTTACGAATGGACTCAAGAAACCAATAATTATGGTTTGATTGAGTACGATAATAATGGCAATTCAATAAAATTGCCAGATTATGAAAACTTGAAAAAAAAATTGTCTCTAATCAATATTCCACGAACTGATCAAATGGATTCTTATCAACCAAAAAATTCTAACCATTTCCAATGTCCTGAAATAAATGAAAATTGGAAAGCGACTAATCGATTACCACCCACTCCTTCAATTAAAAAATGTAAATGTATGAAATCAAGATTAGAATGTGTTGTAACAACGACAATGACGACAACCACAACAAACAACAATAATAACAATAATAATCCTTTTGAAGAATTATTTAAAATTGTATGCGAAATGGTCGATTGTAAAGAAATTAGTGCTGATGGATATCTTGGAAATTATGGAAATTATTCTTTCTGTGATCCAATCGATAAGTTATCTTTTTTATTTAATCAATATTATCAACAACAAAATAAAATTTCAAAAGCTTGTCAATTCAAAGGTGTTGCTGAACTCGTGTCTCCAATTAATAATAATAATAATTTGTTGGATTGTTCATCAATCGATAATGATGATGGTGATCTACTCTTGTTAAAAACAAATAAACAAAACATTACCAGTGGTAGTAACAGTAACGATAACAATAATGTAATGATAATATTATTTGAATATGTTATTTTATTTATTTATATACGACATTTACATATTTAAATATATATAACAAAATAAATACAAAAGTCCCTCCCTCATGAAAATTTAGATTTTCACAATACTTGTATTATTTATTTTGCAACAATTCAAGTATTTGTTGTTGCATCAGAATCGATAACTATATCAGCTGAAGTTTCACGTTTATCTCCCCCTGCTGACTCAAGATCTTTTGTGGTTTTTTTATCGATTTTACCAAACAATTCGTCCATTTCTTCAAGTGATTTATTTTTAGTTTCTGGGAAAAATATATGAACAACTACCGCCATTAACCAACAACATATGCCAAAAAATATATAAGTTCTATTATAATATAAATATTAATTATTAATTAATAACAATAATAATAACATTTAATAATAATAATAATAATAATAATAATAATAATAAAAATAGAATGGACATACCCCCAAGTAATACTATATCAAGAAATATTTTAATAATGATATCAGTAAAAAAATTTTTTAAAGAAATACTACCACTCTTTAAGCTAATTTACTTACTTATTTAACATAATTGGTGCAACAAATCCTATGATTGTGTTTGAAATCCAATTTGCCGCCGTTGTCACTGACAATGCTTTTCCTCGAATTCTAAAATAAAAAATATTACCAAATATGGATGATGATAGATATTAACGATAATGATAACGACGACGATGGTGGTGATGATAATAAAGATAAGATTTAAGTACCTTAATGGATATATTTCAGAAGGATAAATCCATCCGTTCTAATAAAAAATAATCAAATTATTAATTGCCTACACACGTTAATTGCAAAAAAAAATATAATATAATGCCTTACAGGACCCCAAGAATAAGCAAATGAGCCCACGAAAAAATAAATGAAAAAAATGATAGCGTATGAATTTGTTTTACTATCCAATCTCATAAAATTTTTTGCAAGTTTTGGATCATAATATTCTATTCCTGTAGCCCCTAGAATTATACCGATTATTAACATGGCACATCCCATCAAAAATCCACCTGATATACTAAAAAAAAAAATTAAATTAGTTAATTAATAAATTTATTTCGTTTTTTAAAAGAAAATACTTACAAAGTTGGCCTACGACCCCATTTATCAACCCAAATAATAGAGGGAATAGTACATAACATATTTACTACACCTACATTATAAAAATTTTGGAAATAAATATTTATTAGATATAATAATAACTATTATTATCAATTAGATAATTATATATTAATACGCACCATTAATTCCGGTGGCAAGAAGTCTTGATGAATTATCTGCAAGTCCGGCATTTACAAAAATTTGAGGTGCATAATACTATTTATTCATTAAAAAGATGTGAATATAAAATATGACAATGATAATGATGATAATAATAATAATAATCACCAATATAGCATTGATTCCAGTGAATTGTTGAAATACTTGTATAACAACGCCCAAAATCATTCTCCTTCTAATATTTTCTGGGCCTTTTTTAACAAGTTCATAATAACTTTTTGCAGCAAATTCACGTTCAAATTTAACATTTTCTTTAATTTCATTATATTCGCTCAAGACATTTGCATCAGACTTGTCTCCATTTGATCGTAAATCCGCAATAACCTTTAATCCTTCTTCATCTCTATCATGATCCAGTAACCAACGTGGTGAGAATGGGAGGAAAATTGTACTAACAGCTAACATATTATACGCGTAAATGTGTGAATGCGTGAATGTGTTAAATTAAATTGAAATAAAATAAAATAAAATAAAATATTTTTTACCTAAAATTGCGGCAGGAATAACTTGAATACCTAAAGGGATTCTCCATTGTGAGTCTGAAGAAAACTTTTCACAACCGTAATCAATCCAAAAAGAAACTGCAATTCTATATACATTCATGTATCAATTTTTAGAGGGATGGAAAATTAAAATATTAAAATTTATTATTGTTGTTGTTATTATTATTATTATTCTTACCCTATGGTAATAAATAATTGTTGAAGTGAGACTAGACGACCACGAATTTCTTTTGGACTAACTTCTGCTTGATACTTTCATAATAATAATAGTTAGAAAATATATACAATGTAGATCCAACAAATGGATGATATAAATGAATACACCTACTAAAGGTACTATTGCAGACAAAATCCTAAGAAATATTTAAAATTTATATTATTAAATAATAATAATCATTACTATAACATGATAATAATAACACGTAAAAAGAACTATTGTAATTTACCCAACAGATATACCAGAAATAATTCTACCAACATATAATTGAGCAAATGTATTGGTGGTAGCTTGTAATATACCACCGATAATAAATATCAGTGATCCGACAAGCATAGAATATTTTCTACTAATTTTATCGGCCAAATATCCAGAAATCAATGCACCTTTTTATAAATTAATAATATTAATTAATAATAGATAAATATGATTGGTTGTTGAATGAATCACATGGAATGAATATAACTTTTTCTTTACCGGCAAAGCATCCTGCTAAAAGCGATGCTACTATTGATCCTTCTTTTGCAGGACCACTAGGAAAAGTTCCACGAAATTGCTCCATAGGTAGAATACCTGATATAACACCTGATGTTTATAACAACAACAACAACAACAATTAATTTTTAAAATCTTGTATGACTTGCTCCCAACGTAAATGAAAATTATAAAATTATAAAATAATTTACCAATATCATATCCGAAAAGAAATCCGCCTTTAAATTAAAGAGTAAAATCAGAATTGTTTTTAAAAAAATTGTCAATTAAAAATCATAAAAAATTTTTTTAAAATAAAATTTGTACCAACCAATGGCAGAAAAACACGCAATGGTATATACAAAAATCATATTTCTTAATTTCGTAATGGATGGTTTTTCAGCCATTTTTTAAATTTTCTCGATTTTTTACTTTATAAAGAATTTTTGTGGAAAAATTAATTGATTGATCGATTAGGCAGATATCCGAATGAATTTAATATCTGATAAAAATAAATTATTATATCACAAAAATCAATAAGCAAAGATTTGATTCATAAAAATTAATAAACAAATATTCTCATGTGTTTAATAATATAAATAGTAGATAGAGAAATTTTCATGAAAAAATAGTTTTAAAAAAGTATCATATTTATCATATTTATATTAATTAAATACAATTGTTTTTTACTCGTCGTATGTAAATTCTATCAAAAGATTAAATTTTCTGACTTAATTTAGTTAATCCACGATTTATAATAATAATGATGATGAGACTTTTTATCATACATTAAAGACATTGATTGTGTGCGTGAGAGAATATTATCTTTATATGACATTATCTTTTTTTTACTTTCGTTCTTCTCATTTGTTATGTTTCATACATACATTTATTCATCCATTAAAACCTGATTTCTCGTAAATAGTATAAATAGCATCACCTAATTAAAAATAAAAGGGCATTAGTTCCATGATTTTATTAATCTAGATTTATACAAGTCTTAATTCTCCCTTTTTATTGTGCATATAATGAATCACGAATGTGTGTGCAAGCAATAATACGACGATCATCGTCATCGAACATCATCATATATACTTTTCAAGAAATGAAAACTTTAAAAACTTAGTTTATTCATTAGTGATATTTCTGTTTATGTCAAGATTTCCAGTAGATCTTGCATAATATTAAAAATTGGTATTATTCAGATGAACTGGAACGTATTTCCCTACGTTATAAACTTTACCTCATTTATATCCCAATTGATTTTTGGCACCTTATTTGTACATAAAGTACAAGTGTGACAAACACCAATCTATATAACTGTGAATCACCTACCGATGAAAATATTATTGAAGATATTCTTATTTCAGAAAGTGTCGGGCAACCTGAACATGTTGAAGTGGAAGTGTAAGTGTACACGAGCGAAGAACAATTATTTCTATAGAAGAAGGTAGGAAAACATTTGAAGCCGCAAAAAAATTTTGGAACAACAAGGATTTGCTACAGAAAAGAAATGTAAAGTATTAATATATTTATATGAATTAATAAAAACGTTTAAATAGTTAAACAAAAAACAAAAACGTCAATCCTTATTGACCGAATTCATATTAAAATAAAATTAGAAATCACGTGAAACAATCAGCTGTTATATCCCCACGAAAATCTCGAGGATACAAGTGCATATTAGTATTAGGGCTTCTATTCAAATAAGGTTTATTCGAATTATTCGTTATTATTATTATTATTATTATGAATTTGAGTATTCGAATTACATTGAAAGTTTATTCGAATAAAATTAATGATTCGAATAAAACTAGCAATTTGAATAAAATTAATGATTCGAATAAAACTAGCAATTCGAATAAAATGAACGATAATAATAATAATAATAATAAATTTAATAATAATAATTCGAATAATCCAATCCAATTAATTTTTTTTTCTTTATCAATCTATTTTTCCTTAGTCCTTGAATATAGTGATAATAATAAATAGTACTAGTACTAGCAATTATAGTAGTAATATAGATTATTATTGTTTATATTATCTTGTTAAAGAAATAAGACCTATATTTTATAAAATGAATAAACCAGTAATTTGAATAAAACAGATAAAACGAATAAAATGAATATAATAATAATAATAACTAATAAATTTTTTAATTCGAATAGATTTTTTAATTCGAATAATAATAATAATTCGAATTAGAATTTGTATTACTATTACGAATAGAACCCCTAATACTAATATATTAATATTTAATATATACAACTGGTACAAAAAACGGATTACCAAATTTGGAAGATTCTTCCTAATCAGCCAATCGCAGTGTGGGTTAAAAACCTTAAAAAATTGGGGACATTCAGCGTGCCGTGTAACGATCACTAACCAAGCCTTTTTTGTAAAATGGCCGCCCATAAGGTTTTTAAAGTTCAAAATTTTTAATCTTATGATCATTCACATTAACACAATTGCTAACACCATTTTATTCTTTATAAATATTGATTGTACACCAAACATTTTCTTGAGCCAAAACTTCTTTGTATATAAATAATAATGTCTAATTTGATTAGACCACGTGAAATTACTAACTATTTATATTATTAGACACCTAAATCCTAATATTAAACCAATTTATTAGTTATCAGGTTCAAGTAATAATACATAATAATGGAGGAAATGGAAGAAACAACTTTTATTTTAACAACGTATGGAAGTAAACAAAACTTGCAATTGTTCTGTTGTAATTTACCAAAAATTGTAAAGATTTATACTTTTAAAATTAATAATAATAAATAAATTGATAAATTTTAATAATGGAACTTTCTTTAATATGTGTATATATATGATGAATGCAGGAATTACACGCTCATATAAATGGTTCAATAAGCTCTAAAACACTGCAAGATTTAGTTGATAAAAAGAAAGATAAAAAACCACATTTGTCAAATTTCAAAATACCAAAGAAAAGATTAGCTATATTTTACGAGTAGTATATCTTTTTATGATACATATGTATATTTATCTATCTATCTATGATAAAAAATAGCTTTTTTCATATTTATAAATAGCTTTTTTGAAATATTCAAACTCGTTTATCAGCTTATAGATGATGAAGAATCATTGGCATATATAACCGAATCAATTATTCTTGACTTTGAAAATGATGGTGTAAAATATTTAGAGTTGAGATCAACTCCAAGGAAAAATGAAAATAATGGTAAACAAATTTCCCGACAAAACTCTATTGATCATATATAACAATTTATAAATTACACAAAATTATATTTTTTTATATTTTTTTTTTTTGAAGGAATGACCAAAGAATCATATGTTAAAACAATAATTTATACCATACAAAAATTATCAATTACTTCTAAAATAATTGTAAGATTGATACTTAGTATTGACCGTTCAATCACTTTAGAAGAAGCTATAGAAACTGTTGATTTGGCTATTAAATATAAAGAATTGGGTGTTGTTGGAGTAGATTTATGTGGCAATCCTTCAGTAAATATTATTTTTATCATCATTCTATTCTAATTTAGTAATTCTGGCAATAATTCAATTATTAAATGTATTTATATATATAGAAAGGTCATTTTGATATTCTAAAACAGGCTTTTATTAAAGCACAAAATAATGGTTTAAAAGTAACTTTGCATTTTGGTGAGGTAAAGTATTTACTTGATTTTTTTTCCAAAAAAAATAGTATTTACATATTTAATAATAATGATAATAATTAGGTTGATGAAACAATTCCTGAGCATCCTTCAATGTTATCAATTTCACCTGACAGAATTGGCCATGCAACACATCTTGATCCAGATTCTAAAAAATATTTAGCTGAAAATCCAATACCTATAGAAATGTGTATGACATCTAATATATTATTAAATTCTGTTAAAAGTTATCAAGAACATCATATTAAAGATTTTCTGTTTATTAAATATCCATGTTGTCTTTCTGTAAGTTTTGCTTTCTTTCTATCTGAAATTTGTAAATTTTAACAAGCAATTAATTATTAATCTCTAAATATTTCATAGACTGATGATAAAGGTAAATCTCAATTATTTGATTGGATAATTGGTTGGTTGTTCAATTTTTCTTCTTTAAAATATTTAATTCTTTTTATTGTTATTGAATATCAGGTGTTTTCTTTTCTGATCTTTCTGATGAGTATGCAATAGCTGCTTCAACTTTTTCATTAACACAACAACAACTTTATGAACTTTCATATCAATGCATTGATTGTATATTTGATAATGATGTAACTAAAGAACATTTGAAAACATTGTGGAAAGATTGGTGGAAAAATTATGAAAATTCTATAATTAATTAATTGGGCATGCTGTAAGGAAACTGAACATTTGATGTCAAAAACTTCAGAGTTCAACATTTAGTAGCTAAATAACAGTGTTTCATTCATTTTACTTTTACTTACATATATCATTTCTTAACATTAAACGATTATTTCTCTTTATAAAAGATTGCTAATTGATTTCTTTGCTTAATTATTTATTTCTTCTTTTTTCACTAAAAACAAAAAAAGTACTTTCTGAATTACAATGTAATTAAAATATGATTGGTGGAAATCATAAACTTTCTTAAATAGATGATCGTGCAACATCATCTGAAAAAACTAGAATGCTAAAAAAAATATTGCTTTTGAATTATGCCAAGCAATTTTGATTCTCAAAGTCTTTATTGTCAAATTCTAAGAGTGCTGAAAGTCTTCCGACATTGGACACATTTTAATAAAGATATCCTGGCAAGTATGATTCTACCTGTATATATTGTAATGATAATAGAACAAAAAGAAGTCCGCAGTTGATGCAAGAACATTTAACAAATAGATTTCCAAATTCTATCAATTGAAATAAAACAATTTTATCTTATATAAAATAATAGAATGATAAATTGGCAGAACCACCCATATTATACAACAGTATTAACATTGCTGGCATATTATTATAAATAAAATATTGAGATTTATCTCAATTTTTATTATTATTATTTGCAGTCTTCATAGATGATAAAAATGATAAAAACAGTATATATAAATGTTGAATATAAGAGGCATGATGGTAGGCCACTTCAATCTGGTTAAATTATAAGGAGGGTTTGCTTTAATTTAAAATAGATAGCATATAATCATTAAAAAAATTTT